AACAGCATATCAAAAAATGCAGTGTACATTCCATACCTGTGACAAAGACAGGAAGTGAGCGAGCATTCGCTGCCGGAAATGGTGCCTATGGACTTGCCGAATGCAGGAGTGCCACAAACCTTCAGTGTGTGAAAAACATTGTCTGCAGTGTCATAGAGCGAAGCGCAAAGAAGCAAGGATGCCTCTCAGGGGAGTCCGTTCCCCACATGTCTGTCAGTGTTTGGTAGTAACACTTGATTTTAGCTGTCCCAATAGGTGCATCAGGACTTCACATCATGGCCTTAATTTGCCACTGGTGTGAACACCTTTCATGTGTTTGCCATCTACCTCTCTTTGCAGAGTCTCTGTGTCTTCTGTCCATTTTCTAATTGTATTTTGTCACCTAATGAAGGTTCTTTACATATTCTGGATATGGGGCTTGAGGGTATTTTCAGTCTATAGCTTGTTTTCCACTCTCAACAGGGTCTTGTTAGAGCAGCAGTGTTTCATTTGGCTGTCAATTTTTATCAATTTTTTTTTTTTACATTTTGTGCTTTTGCTTGCATGTCTAAGTACTGTTCACAAAGTTCAAAGTCCTGAAGGTTTTCTCCTAAAGCACTTTGTTTTACACTTTATGACTTATTTTAATTTTTGTAGAAAATTTGTTTACAAATATCCAGTTACTCAAGCGCCTTTTGCTGAAGACTATTCATTTAGTTCTTTTGTACCTTCATCAAACATTAATTGGTCAAACTTGGAGCCACTTCTGAGTCCTCTATCACCTCCACTGAGCTACGTGCTTGTCTTTCCATCTGCTTATAGTAACTGATTATAGAAGTTTTGAAATAGGTAGAGTTCTTTTTTCCTTGTGTTAAAAAAAAAACTTGCTGAGTGCTCTCCCTGGTGGTACAGAGGGTTAAAACACTGCACTAAGAAGCTAAAGCCACTTCAGCATGAGTTTCATCCCCGCCCTGGAGGTGACCCACATGGTGCAGCAGACCTCTCTTGACCTGCCCGCTGCTCCCCTCAGCAGTGTACTTCAGCAGTTGGCCTGTTCTGCTCCCCACTCTGTCTCTGGTGAATCCTCTTAGCACCCCCGCACCTCTGGCCTGTACTCCAGTTCTGTATGCATAAATAAATAAATCTTTAAAAAAAATTCAATATCCTTAACAGCTACAGAGTTATGCAGATATTTATTTCCTTTTGGGTGAGTTATGGTAATTCATGCTTTTCAAGAAACTGGTCCATTTCACCAAGTTGCTGTGACTAGCTCTTCATAAAGCCCCTTCCTGTCTTTTGTCATCTGTGGGGTCTATGGTGATTGCCTTATTACAAGCCTAACATTCCTAACTTGTATGTCTCTTAGTCTTGCCAGAGGTTAGTCAATTTATTGACTTCTCCAAAGTTTATGTTTCTTTGCACACTTCTCCCTGCATCCTATGGCAGGACCGCTGGCTGCCTTCCCAGTACTCATTCTACCCTCTTCCTTTCTCTGGAACTTCAAATTCTATTATGGTGGCAACATGCCCAGCTTAAAATACCCTTACTCCCTGAATATGTGCAGTCAGTAATGGCTGATGAGATGTGAAGGGGAGCCAGGCTGACTGGGCCTGAAGCCATGGTTCTGTGTATATGGCTATACAGAAGGGACTCGCGTCCCTGGTACCCTCAAGGAGCCACTGTACCACCCCAGACTTAATGCCAAAACAGTAAACCCTTGCGTGTGTGTGAATGCAGTCTGACCTCTGTATATCTCTCCCTGTACCCCTCCAGTATCTCCTGCTACAGCACATTCAGTAGGTCTTTCAGCGAAGAGCAGTAAACACAAAGCATCATAAGCCTGAAAATGTCCAACTTGCTCTCATTATTTACAACCAAAGAGACTGACATTTGCTTCCTAAGCACTTAGGAAATACTAGTCTTCTAGTCACCTACTGCTGATGCAAAATGAACTCATTCCCACCCTGCCCCCCCCCACCCACATGTAGCTTTGAACCTAATAATCTAGACCATTGTTGTGGCCATGTACAATATTTCACTTCACATTTATTGAGTAATTTGGGTAATGAATTTTCTCTTTAAGTAACTGTGTGTAAAATCTAACATACATACCATAGAAAGAATATAAAATGCATAGCTACAGAATAAAATGAAACCCATCAATCAAGCCTCAAAGAGGCCCTTTCTCAGAGCCTGCGGCAAGCCTGGCTTTACCAGCCACGTGTGTGTCCTTGGGGAACCCCAGACGCCTCCACAGGAATAGTGCACACTCCATTTCTTCCAAGACCTTTGTCTTTCAAGATCTAGCCATAGTCTTGCTTGATAGCTCATTTCACTTCACTGCAAGAATCACAACTTACTGCTGCATCTGTCACTGTATGAGCACTGCTGCTGACAAACACTCCTGCCCTGTCTCCTAACACACACACATGCTACATACAACCAGGCAAGTGGCAGAGCACCCACTGCTCAGAGGGCATGGGTATGTTCACTGTTCTATTCCCTCTCTGTGGTACAGCAGGTGAGCGGTTCTCCACTCCGACACTACACACCAGTATAGCCGATAACCATGTCTCCAAGACACTGTCTGACACTGCCCCTACCGCAGCTTTCTGTGCTTGATGGAGCTCTTCCTTTATTTATTAAAGCAATCATTCTGCTGGCTTTAGGTTTCTTTTCCAAATAGCACTAGACTGAGCTAAAAAATTTTTAAAAAGCTGCCTAGTACATCAGTTGTAATTAATGTTGTACCTGGGTTTACTTGTCCTACCTTACCTGTTCCTCTTTTGGACAATTTTTCCACCAAATACTTGGGAAGGGAGGGAGGTGGCACTGTTTCTATTCTTTTGAGTTAGAAAGGTCAGCCTGTGTGTAAATCAGCCCTAGCTGGAGTCTTTTCTCTCTCCCTGAGAGTTTCAGAGGGCTGTAATTTCAATCACCTCTGGCCACTGGATTTATATACTACTGCTGTAGTGTATTCAAAGCAGCTCATCGTGGTGGGGCAACCAGTCTCGGGAAGCAACCAAGCCTTGCAATCCACCCCTGCCCCAAGAATCTTATGTTCCCTCTGGGCCCTCTCTGGCATCCTCACGTTCTCCCTCTATAGTCATACAGTTCCGCCTGCGATAGCCACCCCGTCACCTCCCTGCCTCCTAGGCCCAGGTGACACACACGCATGCCGTGCACTCTCGCTCCAGGTGTCTGCAACTGCCCCGAGCCACCCTCACTCCCAAGCGCTTCCTCTGTTAACGTGATCAAGGCCACAAGTGGCTGCCACAGAAGCTAGCTGCACCAAAGACCCGATTAATTCACTTAGTCTACACCCATATTTTACTTTTACTGCACTAATACCTTTGTCTCCTAAGATCAATGCCTATTTAAATTTACTTTGTTCTCTTTATTCCTCCTTATAGCTCAGATCTTCCATCTGGGATCATATCCCTTCAGTCTAAAAACATCCTCCACAAGTTTTTTTTTTTTCTTTTTCTTTTTTTAAAGGAGAATGTTGTGCCTTGTATTATCCACTTTAAAAAAAGCTTTGACATAATACTCATACAATACAGCCACACCAAGTGTAGAATTAAATGGCTTTTTATGTGTTCACAATTTGTGTGATCACCACCACAACCAATTTCAGAGTATTTTCACTACTCCAAAATGGATAAATGGATTTTCCTTTGGTGAGTTTGCTGGTGACAAAATCCCTGGTTTTAGGCCCTCCCTGGTGGCGCAGCAGGTTAAAGCACAGCACTAAGAATCAAAAGCCACTTCCACATGAATTCGATCCCTGCCTGCCCCGGAGGTGACCACATGGCGCAGCGGACCTCTCTTGACCCTCCCGCTGCTCCCCTCAGCAGTGTACTTCGTAGATCTGCCTGTTCTGCTCCCCACTCTGTTCCTGGTGAAGCCTCTCACCCTCCGCATCTCTGGCCTGTACCCCAGTTCTGTATGAATAAATAAAAAAATCTTAAAAAAAAAAAATCCCTGGTTTTGTTTGGCTAAAAAACAAAACAAAACAAAACAAAACAAAACAAAAACCCCTCATACTTGCCATACTTGCAAGATCTTTTCACTAGGTATAGAATCCAGTGGACGATTTTCTTTCTTTCAAGTTAACACTGATACCAGAAGGCATCATTCCAGTTAATACCAGTTGTGATTGAGTTCCTGACTTGATCCTTGAAATCTTTTCCTCTAATTTTAAGACCTTCTCTTGACCCTTTTGCTCTGACAATTTATTATAATGTGTTTAGGTACTTCTAAAACTTCTTAGATCTCCCTGAAAGAAGTGGGACCAGATGGGCTGGACCTCCAAGATCGGATCATAAAAGGCCCTAACACCTCCGCATGCCTTTTCTCATCTCACTCACTCTCAGTCACCAAGTTATGAGAACAGCCAGGCAAGACTGGGTGAGGAACGTGAGGCAAGGATGTGTGTGTTGTGTAAGCATTTTTGGAGAGCTCATTGGAAGCCAGCCAGGAAGCCCATTCTCCACCCCCAGGGAAGCCTTCAGATGACTGCTGTCTTGGAGGATATCAAAACTGCAACCTCACTAAAGACATCAAAACTGCCCAACTAACCACTCCTAATTTCTTGACTCACAGAAACTTCCAGATAACAAAGATTTGTTATTTTAAGCCACTGAGTTTTAGGGTAATTTGTAGGCAGTGGTGGGTAATACAAGGCACAACAGTTTTTCAAACAATCTTGCTTACTGAGCTGTGGCAAATGTAGAGAAAGTGCACAAATGCTGTGGTGCGTTCAGTGAGTGCTGCACGAGTGTTACCATCCAGCTGAGAGACGGACCACCTGGATGTAGGTTTCTTTCACTGCCTTGCATCAGGTTTGTAGACCTCCTTAAATCTATGAATTAGTGCTCTTTAAGTCTTGAAAAATTCTCAGTCATCTAAAAGAAAAATTACCTCTGCCCTCTTTTTGCCCTTTTCTCCCTCCTGGAATGCGTCACATGATGTTGGCTATTTGCACATGTCTTGGCCCCTTGTCTTATATTAGCTTCCCATTCATGAACTGAGTCGAATTCGGTTGTATTTTCTTTATTATTATTATTTTTTTATTTACAGACCATCATTGGCTCTTTTGCAAATCTATTTCTGTTTTCCAGGCTCTCTTTATGTCTGTATATCATTTCTAAACATTTACATTACTGACTTACAATTCTCATGTCTGAAGCCCTCAGAAGGTCGCTTCTGTCATGTTCTTTCTGACGTCCTTGGCTCTGGCTGCTTTGTTGGCTGGTGGGTAGCTGGTGAACTTCTTTATAAACTGCTCGTTTTTCTTGGAACTTGGTGGGGTGATGTCTTTGAAGACCTGAGATGAATAAAGGTTCTTCCAAGCAGGCACCACAGTTCTATCAAGTGTCTCACACCATTACCATTCCAGGACCACTTTAAATTCTTGACTTGGTTTTCTCCTGTGCAAACCCACATGAAGGCTGCCTTGGATCTCAAGGGAGATCTTTTTACACTCTGGTAGGTGACACGGTTCATATTTCTTCTGGGGTGCCAAGAGAGCAGGTTTATTACTAGCTTACAGAGGTGCCCCAGCTTTATGGAAGGTTCTCCTAGTAGCACACTGGATTGCCTTAGGCCCAGGCACTGAGGGCCCTCCAAACCAAGGCTAACTTCACCTGGTTTGTCAAATACCCTCATAGCAAAGATCAGGCTTAAGCATTCTTCTGCCTCTTGCCTTTTTGTCTGAGTATTCCTTATTTTCTTGCCAGCTCGTGGATACATTTTAAAAAGCATTTGTTGTCATTATTTATTTGCCTAGTGTTTTTAACTGTGTGCAAAGGGAGGATGAGCTCAGGCAATTACTCTAGATGCCAGGAAGAGAGTGGTCAGCACTCCTGCAAGGCTCTCCTTCCTCTTCCTCCCCGCAACTCCATCAGCTCAGGGACTGCTAGCTGCCTACCAAGGCTCTCATTCTTCCCTCTCTTCCTCTTGCTTTGTCTCTCTCACCCTTTTTCATTTCTTGAACTTTAATTCCAATTTATTAATCTTACCTTAATAAGCTTTCGATTACCTTTGCTTCCAATTTATTCATCCTTTCTTTGATTGTAAGTTACCATTTAGTTCTTCTAGTGAGTTTCTAATTTCAATAAATATATTCTTTGTTTCCAAGATGTTTTCTGTATCTAATCCCTGTTATTGAATTATGGGAAGTCCTTTTTTTTAAATCTCTAGCGATAAAACAAATATTTTAAAGGCATTTCAGTTTCCTTGGGTGTTCATTCCTCCACTTGTTGGGCTAGTAGCCACTTACAAAGGCACCAGGTATTCTTGCTTGCTGCCCTTTCTGTCAGCGTGCTCATCGCGTGTGGTAGCTGTTTCTCTGCCTGCAGGGCAGTTATTCCATTAGGACACAGACCCTCAGCTCCCGCCTGAGGACCCCCTTACTCTGGCCCTGACTGCTGGGTAAGTCTCGCTGCCAGTCGCCAGGCGTCTGAGCCCTGCACTGTCACAGAGTGGCATCCTGCTGCCAAATGCAATCTTGGGACTGGGGTGAGGTGTGGTTAGGCTGTTGCCCACCCTTCATTCCCTGGCAAGGAAGCCCAGTCCCCGCCCCTGGCTCTGCAGGGAAAGCCTGGCTCCAGTGCCAACAGCCGCCTAGCCCCGTCCCTGGTGGGATCAGCCCTGGCCTTGCCCCACTGCTCACGCAGCAGCCGTCTCTTACCACTCTAGCCTTCACTCCCAGAGGCAAGTGTCCTCTCCTCCCACACACGAATTACCTTGGGCAATTCTGCATACTTTTAACTTAAAGCGCTTCTTTGTTACATGACTGTGCTGGACTCTGTACCTGTGCTTATACCTCTATGACCTGAGTTCTCGTCCACCAGAGCTGAGACATGTATTTCTGGAACTTGGCACATAGGATGACCAGCACAGGAGCAGGAAGCTCAAGGAAAAACCCTGAAAGGAGCAGTCCTCCTGGATATGAAATTCCAGTTAGCCACTGGTAGCTAGAGACGTGGCCAGTCAGTCTCTTGAGAGTCAACTCCATAGAGACACTAATGGTTTTAAAGCCAGGGCCTTGGAGAACCACAGTTCCAAGATCACAACTGAAACTCAGCCTGAAAGAACACCGCCTCTAGCAGAATAGGCCGCCTGCCCCACAGAAGGGCCCCAGGGGAGCCACAGTCAAGCTCTGATTAGTGAAGTGGCAAGAGGGGCTGCTGGAACTGGGCGAGTGGGTAAGAGCAGTGACAGAGGCTTCACATCTGGAGCAGCCCAGAGCTGACGTGTACAAGGCACAGCCCATCTCTGCACGAGCCATCTCTTCACACTTGGGGTTCACAAAGGACTAGGTGGGAGCCTCTCCGGGCTGTCCCAAGGACCACCATAAGGCCTAGGCCTGTTGAGGGCTTACAAGAACTCTTTCAAACTCTGTCTCTATCACTCAGTGGTTTGAGAGAACTAAGGACTGGTCTAGAATCTGGGCCCAGAAGATCAGGCCTGGGTAGTTCCCACCCTTCTAATCTCATCACACTCAGTCCAACACAGAGCTTACTTGTTTAAGCATCGCCTTTGTAGCTACCCAGTTTGGAACTCAAATCAACAGCCCCCCAAAGACCCAGGAAATATTTACTAGATTTCTGCCACACACAGTCTGCTTATCTCTATTTTGAGATTAAAAACAGTTCAAGATACATACATATGTACATACACAGCAAGCCCACAGGCTGTCGCTGGCTTTGCTCCCACTCAGGGTGGTGGGACCTGGAGACAAGAAGTTGACTTCACCCCATGGGGGCTCAGGCTGACAGGAATGGGAGTCCCTGCTTTGAAACCAAACTGGAAGGGGTGGCAAACCTAGTCCCCACGCTCCAAGGCCATCCCCCTACAGGACAAGCAGATGGGGGGGTAGGGGAGGTAAGGACATGCCTCAGTCAGAGTCGCAGGTCTCTTGCTCGGTGGTGGCATTCACTGCAGAGGCCAGGCTGTCCTCCTGGCCTTTCAGCCTCTCACCTGGATGGGTAGCAAACAGGAGGGGTTGGAGAGGGGTCCTGTGCTTGGGCCACCACCCAGAGGGTAGGGATGCAGCCTTGCCAGGCCCTGCACTTACGAATCAATTCGGCAATGGCCCTCTGGGTTCGCTTTTCTAGCTTCTCTAGCTTCTTGGCCACATCTCTCTTGAGGTCCCTGCAGCAAGGAGGTGTAAGGTCGACTGAGGCTGAAAGCTGGGCCTTGTAGTGCCCCCTCCCCACAACATTAGGAACAACCTGGAGGGGACTGCCCTAGGGTGAGTCCAGGAGACCCCTCTCCCTTTCCCCATCCTCCACAACCCAGTAGTCCGCCCAGTTCCAGTGGGAAACAGACCAGCAACAGACTGGGCCAACACAGAAACTCAGCCAGGGTGCACAGGGCAGAAACCTTAGAAGGTTTCTAAGGTCCCTCTTAGTCTGGTCCCTGGTCACCATCAGGGCATGACCAGTCCCACCCCCCCACCATGGACCCTGCTCCTTATCTGACCACATCTCCCGCTACTAGGGAGCTTCCAGAAGCACTCACACTCCCTAGTTCAAGTTTCCTAGGACATATACCCCCCAAGCTATTGTTGCATCAAGTGAGAACAGCTCAAGTGGACTGACTTGACACAGAATTGCAGGCAAGAGGGTTCTGGCCTATACTTCTGGCCCAAAGTGAAGTAGAACACAAACTTCTCAGGCTCCACAGTGCTCCCTCACCCTCTTTCTCAGCCTAGTCATGGGGTGCCAGGGAAAGATGAATACCTCCCATTTCACAAAAGGACTGAGGCCAAAGGGGAATAAGCTGGTTGTGGCAGAATTGGGCAGACCCTTCCCTTCCCACCATCTCGCCCATACCTGTGGCTCCCTGAAGGGAACTGGTCCCTTCAGAAGGGGCTTCTTGAGGAACTGGCAACACCCCCACTCTGGCTGAGCTCCTTCCCATGGGGGTCCCTTTCTACCCGCCAGGTGGCATTTGTATCACTTTCCTCGCATTCTCTATGCATGTCCTGCTCAGCGCCGCTTTCAGACACTGATTATCTTACGTAACTAAATGCCTCCACTGTCTCCACTGTAGAGTGGCAAAGCGCCAGCCCAAGGCCTGCGGCTTAGCACAGAGGCAGCCCTGTTGGCTGTACTAGTCCTCCAGTGGCAATACTCACCAATCAGGCTTGCGGGGTGCAAGGTTGGCCAGGTCCTGGGGAGGCAGGAGACATATGTCAGGACTAGAGGAGCAAAGCCCCAAGGGAAGAGGTAGGACATGGAGGTAAGAAAACAGCAGGAAGGGCAGGAGGAAGGAGGGGCTGTGGGAAAACAGGGAGGTAGGAAGGGAATAAAGAAGAGGGAAGGGGAGAGCAAAGGGAAGGAGGAAAGTACCCACAGAAGCAGAACAGGAGGAGCCTGCACTCACCACTTCCTCAATGACGGGTTCTGGCTTGGCGGCCTCCAGCTGCTCCTTCACTTTTTCTTCCACTAGAGGGTGCAAGACAACAACAGAGACCACTGTACACCACAGCCCCTGGAGGAGGAGGATGCTAGCGGTCCAGAGGGACCCTGGGCTTTCCCGTCCCTCTTATCACCTGGGCCCCCAACGAGGCTGGACTTGGGTTTCTCAGGATGAAGGCAATGCTGCGGGTGAGCCAGCAGGAGGCAGATGGCCAGGACTTAGACCACCAGTCAAAAAGCATGGATACCTTCAGTCTCCCAGGGTGAAGGAGAAGGCTGTGTGGACACAGCCAAAAGCACACTCAAGCCAAAGGGCCTTGAGAATGGGCTTATCTGACTTCCGGGGCTCCTGAGCTCCAGGAACATTCTTGGGCCATGGATTGGGCGGGGCACACCCGCTTCAGGTGTGTACCCCCACGACCAGGGTGCTGAGCACCTAGAGGCCACCCTCAGGCACCTCCTATCTCTACCCAGCTACTAATACAGTGGGACCCCAGGGACAGCAAGTGCCAAAGCACTAACAACAAATCCAGGGTCTGTGAGATTCCTCCATCCCAGCTGGCCCATGTTCCCACACGCCTCACCCCTGCGGCCTCATGTACGGATCCCAGCAAGACACAGGACCAGCTCCCCATGCTTCTCTGCTTGGACTTCCTGCTCTAACTGTAGCGGGGCCCAAACCACAAAGCAAATCACCAGTTAAGTATGTAAGGGGCAAAGAAGATGGAGAAGCAGGCTGGAGTATGGCTCAGGGGCTAACTTCATTCTTTTACGCGCTAAATGTATTTATTCATTTATTACTTGTATAGTTAAAAATGTATGGCAAAATAAAAGCAGAAGTACCAGGACCAGGAGTCTGTGTGATAAACACCTCATCTCTGGCAGGGACAGCTGTGGACAGCTAGTCAGAGGCTCCTGGCTGCTGCCCTGCCCCCCACATTATGGTGAGCCTGGGTGGGAACCCCTGCTCCACCAGCGAGAGCACTTCTCTGTGCTCAGACACTGCCCGGCATCTGCCTGCCCAAGGCTCTCTGAGCCCTGGTAGATCAACCCTCATTGGGGTCTTTCACTCTGAACCCCCAAGGGCAAAAGGGAGCTACAACTGGGCCACTTCTACCTCTCCGCCTAGAGAGGACCTCTGAAGGGATGTGGCCCTTTCCCTCACTGGAGGCCCCAGGGAAAACTCCAGGTCAGGGTGTAAACAGGGTAGAGCAGGCACGGCAGACCTAGAGATGGTGACGGAAGATCCCAGAGGCCCAACCCCCAGCCCTGACACTGCCAGCTGTTCTCCAAGAGTGGGCACCACCTCCCAAGGTGGAGGCAACTGAAGTGCCTTCAGAGCAGAGGCAGAGGAGCGCAGCCCACCTACCTGCAACTGGCTTGGCCTGGGGCACCCTCCTCCTCTTCAGGTCCTCATCCTCTGGAACATAGTTTCGCAGCCTAAGTTCCCTATGAGAGCAGAGAGAACAAGCAGAAATGGAGTGTGAAACACAGTCTCACTTCACACACTTGCAGGTGAGACTGGTAACAGCACATCTTCCAGATCTTCCTCTGGTCTCTCTAGAGACAGCCTGGTGAAGAGGGAAAGCACCAAACCAGAAGCATCACTGGGCCAGTCAATCTCTGGCCCCCCTCAGTCTTAGCCCCTGGCTGAGTCTCAGCGCTGGCTATTCTTCCAAGGTCCTGCCTGCATTGTAAGTGCATCTCCAGAGCTGGCCAGGGATGCCCAGGGAGCATTCACTGGACATCTCTCCTGGGACACCTCCATTTGACAGGTAAGGAAACTCAGAACCAGACTGTTCCATTTTCATAAAGTCACACAGCAGTGCTTGGAGTAGCTGAGACCAAGCAAGATGCAATTCCAAGCCAGGGTGAAAACTTCTGGGCCGAGTTCCTCCTAAAGGAGAAAGCCAATGTGCCTCAAGCCTGCCTCCTTCTCGGTCCACCTCCTTTCCTAAGACCTTTCTAAGGTCTGCTGGTCCCTCAGAAGCCTGGGCCTCCAGGAAAGGGAACATTCTCACAACAGGAAGTTTCCCGCAGCCAGTCATCTGTCATCTATCTCTGTGTCTGACAAAAGTATTGCAGACTTCCCAGCCCGAACAGATGAGCTTATCAAAATGAGTGGCAGAGGTCTGTGGCCACACAGCTAACTAGTGGCAGCAGTCTTAACTTCCACTTGCCCCCAGCCCCCGCTCACATACTAGCTTCTTCCCCGCTGCCCAGGCCCTGAGGCCCATGGCCCCCAGGGCCCAGCACTGCCGTGGAAAGGAGACCAACTGCACCGACGCAGGGCCTGCCTCCTCTAAGGAGTGGGACACCCACCCACTGCCACTCCCTGCGGGCTCATGTCAGGCATGGTGGTAATCAGCAGGTCCCAAGCCGCAGAGAAAGTGGAGCGTGGTTTGGTGCGCTGATTTTAGTTCCCAAGAAGGTTGGGAGAAAAGCAGAAGAGAAACAGGGTGTGGGATGAAAACGGCAAGGACTAGTGAGAAGAAAGAAAACAATTTGTCATTCTCGGAAACAGGCGCAGGATTCTGAGAGAATCAGTAGGAGAAAAAATCTGCTGGAACTGTACCCAGCACTCGTAGAGGAAATATCCACCTCTTCAGCCCCCGCCACTGCCCAGATTTTAGAAGCAGAATGAAAGGACAGAACAGGGAACAGGGAGGGCCAGAGCAGCATGAAGAGGAAAGAGCAGCTTGGGCTGGGGACAGCATCCCCAGCAGCCCTGGTGCCCAATGTGCCTTGCCCCCCCAGAACTGAGCACCAGTCAGGCAGTCAAGAACAACTGAGTCCATCACTGAGGGACTGTCCAGCTCTGGGCCTTGGTTTCCACATCCATAAACAAGGAAGCTATTCTGGGTGTGTCCGCCCTGGGAAGCCAGGGTCATGGTCCTCCCCTGAGCCTATGAGGAGACTGCCCTCACGAATGTCCAGTTAACGCCCCTCTCACCCCAGTTCCCTCACCGCCAAAGGGCAAGAATCTTTGGGTGAGGTCACGGGGCACTGGGTTCTACTCCCAGGCTTGCTCTCACTAATACCAGACCATGGATCACCCCCTACCCCTGCACCCCAAAAACAACTGAAGCGGGAAAAGCAACAAGGACAAGAGATCCAGTTGTTTTTTTGTTTGTTTGTTTAAATATTTATTTACGTATGCATATAGAACTGGGGTACAGGCCAGAGGTGCAGGGGCGGTGAGAGGATTCATCACAGAGTGGGGAGCAGAAAAGGCGGAGTGATAAAGTACACTGCTGAGGGGAGCAGCGGGCGGGTCAGGAGAGGTCTGCACCTCTCTCTGAAGCAGCTGTGGCGAGCTTGCAGTGCTTGCAGTGCTGCCCCTTAAAATGCTGCACCACCAGGGAGGACCAAGACAGTTTTAAAAATCTATTTTGTTGGCCATGGAGCGGTATACAGGCCATGAGGATTTGAGACACTGCAATCAGAAAGAGAATTGGGACCAGATGAGACTGACCCCTGTTCTCCCTTAAAACATGTGTGTTTTACTGGATGGTTTCACTCATAGCAGGAGTGTAACAGACCAGGCAAGAAAATAATAATAATGAACAGCCATATACCAGAGACATTTTATGGGGTGGAGTGGGGAATGGGATCAAAAACAGTGGGGAGAGTGAAATGCACTGTACTATGCTGATGGCACATGGCTGATTTGGTGATGGGAAGCCCATGGGGATTACAGCTGAGAAGGAAAAATGCACAAAAAGGTGTAAAAATAAACCATTATATTTAAAACAAAACGAAACAAAAAAGTGTGTATTTTCAAGCAGAGTTCACGGCAATTTCATGGGGCCAAAGAAACAAAGCAGCCAAGGAGCAGGATCCGGTAAACCCGCAGGCCTTCTGTCGTGCCTTCCGTCCCACGACCCCATCCTCAGAGCGGGGTGCACTGAGCTGAAACACAGCTTTGCGTGGGCACAGGGCAACTGGTACGAGGAAGCCGCTTTCTTCATCACCCCGGAAAGGTAGGTGAAGGCCCTCTCCTACTCGCACTGACTGCCAGCAGCTGCAATGAGTTCTCTGGAGGAGAATAAACTACCCAGGAACTTCAAGTTTTCCCCAGGACTTTTAACATACAATATCCAGGATTCAGTTATAGTCATGAGAAAAAATACATACAAAGGAAATATATGATCACAAATGAAATAAATGTGAAACAACTGAAATTAACTAAGGTTCAGGGAGTCAGACCCCAAGGTGAACTCCACCTAAGAATCTAAAAATGTAAGACTTAATAAAATAGAAATTCTGTAACTGAAAATATAACTAAAATCAAGAACTCAGTAAATGGGTTCAACAGCAGTTTGGGTACAGTTAAAGGATTAGTGAATTACAAAATAGACCAAAAAATATCCCAAGGAAACAAAGTTAGAAAATACAAAAAAACATAAAAATACAGAATATTCTGGATCCTCCCTAGTGGCGCAGTGGGTTTAAAGCACAGCACTAAGAAGCTAAAGCCACTTCAGTATGAGTTTGATTCCCAGCCCTGGAGGTGATTCACATGGCACGGCAGACCTCTCCGGACCTGCCCGCTGCTCCCCTCAGCCGTGTACTTCACAGTTGGCCAGTTCTGCTCCCCACTCTGTCTCTGCTGAATCCTCTCACCACCCCTGCACCTCTGGCCTATACCCCAGTTCTGTATGCATAAATAAATAAATATTTTAAAAATATACAGACTATTCTATGAGACACATGGAACATAGTGAAAAGATCTAATATGTGTAGTCCCAGAAGCAATATTTAAAGAGATAAAGGCTGAAAATTTTACATTGATGAAAAATATCTGACCATAAAAAAACACTGTGAACTCCAAAGGAAAGAAACATATACCTAAGCAAATCACTATCAAACTACTAAATAAACAAGACTCTCAAATTAGATAAACACATCCAACCTTCAATGAGAAACTAAAACGGACAGCTATCAACAGAAAGAATGGAAATTCTAAGACAAAAAGGATATAGTGAAAGTACTGAAAGTAAATTTAATGCCACACCAGATTCATAAGCCTAGATAACAAAGCCTCAAGGACTTTTCCAGACAAAGAGAAGTTAGGAAAATAAGCCATCAGAATCTGCTCGAGAAATACGAAATGGAGTGCTTTAGACTGGAGGAGAATTATCTCAGGTCAAAGCCAGAGAAGCCACTGCCTTCTATGTCTTGTCCTTTGCAACCAAACACCGGGACCGCCCACAGCCCCCGTCATGTAGGCAGCCACTGTCTGAGTTGAGCCATGCTGTCTCTCCCACATTCTCACTCCCTCCGACCTAGGGCTCCAGTGTCCCCAAACAAGTCTAAACCCAGAACCGGCCTCATCCCTCAGCCCTCAAGGGTTCCTACAATCTGATTTCTAATCAAATGTCCCCTGGGTCACTGCCAGCCCTGTTTGCTACACACTTTCCTGTCTGCCAAGCTTCAAAAGCCAGTTCAATGAGGTGGCATTGCACATGTGGCCTCTCCCCTTCCCCAAAGGCCCCCACCAATCCCAAGGCACAGCTGATTACTCTCCTATGCCCTCTCTTTGTCTCTCTTCCTCTATGCAGCAGCCACCAAGCACATGGCCACTTGAGGACTACGTCTCCTGCAAGCCCTGCCCTGCAAGGTCCTAGACACCCAGCTCCAGCACTAGCGCCCAGCAGATCTGGGAAAGGCAGGGCGTATACATGCCTCCAACCATCACTAATGGATAACGGAATTCCAGGGAGGGTACTTGGACTAGAGCTTCATGAGTAGGCTGGTGCTCTCTAGGCCTTTTACCACTTGGGGGGATGACACAGGAAACAGCAAATTGTGCCCAGGGGATTCGGAGAGAGCAGGGGTGTGTCTGGGTCAGAGCAGCCAACTCCTAAGTGACATCCACTGTTTTTGTGTCAAAGCAACAGAGCGATGCCCAAGTTCACATGCTGCTGAGTCTCCTAATGGAAACTTCCCTTTCCTTTTTCTCTTCACCATTTTCTCCCTGAGTATCTGGGAGAGAACTGTCAAGTGACTGGGCAGGTCCAGTGACTGCCAGATCTTCCTCCAAGCCATCAGAGTATCAGTCATGGGCTAGGCAGGGAGTTCCCCAAGAAATCACACCTCCCAGTATTTTGTTTATACCTTCCATAATTTGAGTAAGGGGAAGAGGATGGAGAAAGTTGGTATTCTCTATAAAATATGAAGTTCAGAAACAGAATTTTAGAATGCCAAAGCAAAAGAAAGCTCCCGGATTATCTAGTCCAACCCTTTCTAGTTCCTGGCCCACTAGGCCCACTCTTTCATGCTATCAGCCCTAAATCTTTGGAACATTAGCTCCTCTTCTCATCCTATTTGTCTTGGGGCCACTCTACACTCACCCCTCTGCTCTGGACCCTTGGATAGAGGCCAGAACTGGACCATTTCACATAGCATGGCTCCTGAGAACAAGGCCCTCCCGACCTAGTCACTCG